CCCCCCAGGTGTCCCACATCACCATCCAGGCGGAGGTCCTGGGGGTCATACGCCAGCTGCTGGTGGCCTGGCTGCCCCGCAGCCAAATCATACGCGAAATCATGCTCTCACTGCCAAACGTCACGCCGCAGGTGGGGACAGCAGACCCCCTGCGCGCGCGCCCACACTTGTCAGCTCCCCGCGCCCGCCGTCTGGGGGCGACTGATCCCCCTGCTTGCGACTAGGCGCCGCGCGCCGCCCGGCTCTTGTTGAGTCGCGCGCGTTTCCGCGTCAGCTTTGAGCAACCCCGCGCCCCAGCGACGCCTCAGAGTCAAGCACCCCGACAGGAAAGCCCGCCAAGCAACCGCCCCCGAAACATCCTGTCCAAAACACCCGCCCTGCGCTCCGCCCGCCGCAGGTTCTCGCCAGCTTCCAGGACCAGCTGATGTCGATCGGCTCGGAAAAGGAGCAGCGCAATGTCGTGAAGCGCCTGCTGGCCGAGTCGGGCGGCGAGGCGGCGCGCGCGGTGCTGAGCGCTGTGTCCAAGGTGCCTGTCCCGGTGGCGAACATGCAGGAGCCGGGGCGCATGAGCGGCGGCGGCACGGGGCGGCCAGAGGATGAAATTCGGTGCGGCTGAGTTTTGGGGGATTCAGGGCTTGAGGTGACTGTTGGAGTTTTCCGCGCGGATCGGGGGGCGTTTCGTGCTGCGGGTGCAATGAGGGTTGCGGCAGTGCTTTGGTTCGTGTATCGTGGCAATTTGTGGGGCGTGTGCATTGTCCAGCATGCGTGAAGTTGTGTAGGTGTTTGTGTTTTGCGGGGTGTGTGTGTGTGTGTGTGTGTGTGTGTGTGTGTGTGTTTGAGTGTGTGCCCGCACGCGTGTGAGTGAGAGTGTGTGCGTCTGTGTGCCTCGTGCGCTGGTTGCGGCGCGCCAGTATGTGACCGCAAGCGAGACCTTCGGGCTGCGGCCTGGTTGGCGGCTGCAGCTTGACCCAAACTGCAGACTCCGGCTTTGGACCTGCGTGAGTCCCCGCCGCTCGTGACTGCCCGCCTGCCGCCCATCCCTCATCCTCTCTGCGCAGGTGGGACTGGAGCAGCGCAGGCGTCGCCATCTGATTGGGCCACACTGCTGCAGCGGCGCTGAAGGCTGCGGCGCGGCGCTGCCCTGCGGCCCCTCCGTTGCCTTGCCGCCTGCTGTAGCAGCAACGGGCATATACTTTTTTCTGGATCCCCGCAGCAGCGAGGGGCGTGCGCGGGTGCATGCACTCTGCGGTGCGTCGCGTGCGATGAGCGGCTCGTTTCCAGCAGGCCCCTTGTGGATCGCCCGGCTTTGCAGTTGAGAGAGGCCTTGCTTAGCCTCCCATGGGGGGGACCTGCTTCTTGCTGAGCAGCAACGCACAGCTCCCGCCACCCAGAACGTTGCGGCCACTGCGCCCGCCGCGCTGCGGCCGCCCACCCTGGCCCGCTGCGGCCGAGCGCCCGCTGTCGAGCCGCACGCGGTATCGTTGTGGCAGTCAGGCCGCGCGCGCAACCAGACACGCTTTCGCCGGAGAGAAACCCAATTTTTCGGAGAATGTGGCCTTCAGCAGCGCAGCTGCGCGTGTAAGGCGCTTCTATCCTGCCATGTCCCCCGCTGCCCGGCGCTGCATGGTACTGGCGAGACGGGGCTTCCCGGGGGCAGAGCGGGCAGAGTGGGGGGTTCCCGGCAACTCGTGCAGCTGTGGGGCGCGGCCGACGCGTTCAAGGCACGGCGCGGCCGCTGCCATCCGCCACGCTGCCGCCGGCACGCCGAAGGGGGGTTCCTTGAAGGGAGACAAGTGGAATTTACATCAAGAGGCACACAGCTTTGGACCCTCGTACAGTGGAGGCGCAGGCGGGAGGCACGCAAGCGATGCAAGCCGGCCCCCTTGCCACAGCCATACTAAGCCAACCCGCCTAGTCAGGGTGGCGGGGACCCCGCCAGCCGCGCCCCCGGCAGCGCCGCCCCCTAGGCGCAGCCTGCTAGTGCAGCCGGCCGCTGCACGGCAGTGCAGCTTGGGCCGCCGCGGGCGTCTTAGGTGGTCTCTGCGGCCTCCTTCTCCGCGTTGGCGGCGTCCAGCAGCGGCTGCAGCTCCGCCGCGGTGAACACCTTGAA